CTGCTGCTGCTGCTGCTACTGCTGCTGCTGCTGCTACTACTACTACAACTACTGCAGCAACTCCTACTGCTAGTCTGCATGCGTTCGTGTATGTACATGAGGTGCTAAATGCCGTGACGGAAGCACGCTCAAGATCTGAGGTCGTGGCGATTCGATGTCGTGGAACAATGAAAGGCAGACTTGTAAAATTAATTCCGAAATTCCATCACAAATCTCGATATTCACGCAAGAAAACCGACAATTTCTGTATATTCACACAAGAAATCTTCTCATTTCTGCAGAAATTTCCGCTACAAACCTTCGACAAAATTCTTCGACCAAATTCACGAATTCTCACGTCCAATTCTCCAACGCAAACTCGAAAAAAAATTTGAGAAGGACCCCTACGCTTTCCTCCTTCCCCTGCCCCTCCTCCCCCGATGACTCACCCCTCGGCATACTGCAGTGGTACGGCCCGGTGGGAGCGGAGTAGTGGTGAGCCTCGGTGTACGCGGTCGAAACACAAGCCGCAGACGCGCGACCGGCAGCCCCTGCACGCAAACGCGGCGTCCCTTCTTCTGCAGCTCTCGCACACGCCTGCGTAGTTGCCACGGCGACGAAGCGAAACAAGAAAACGTTAGTCGACCGGCACGAACGAGCGTCGTGAGACAATTAATCTTAGTTTTAGTAATTTTTGATTACTTTCACTGATTAAAATAGAAATTGGAAAAATAACAACTACTACAACGATTTCAAACGATTGATTAAAAAAGACATCTGTTACTCTCATCAGTATGCAAGTACCTCACATAATTAATCATCGTTAAGTAATTTGCGATTATCTCAATTGACTAATAAAAACGGAAAAGTAACTACTATGACGATTACCGACAATTAAATGAAAAAGACATTCCGAGACCAAATCGTAACAAAATTGCGTGAAATTCAACTCCAACATTTCCAACAACATACGAAATATATATATATGAAAAAATAATATATTCAATAAATACCGCGGGGAGGGAGAGATGCGGAATGATAAATGCTCGAGCACTCTAGTAGTCAGCGCCCTCTATCTCACCTTCCTTTCTCGCGTTGCCCGCCCCCGCGTCGTGTTGCTGAATACCGTCCTGTTCGGCTGACAGGAAGCTGACGTCCGCCGTTCTACCGAGAACAACAAGAGAGTATTTGGACGACGACGAGCGAAACGTGTGGGAAACCAAGATTCGTAAACGAAATTCTTCGCGCGAGTATGTAGCGCGTGCGGCGGTTGAAATTAGCCGTTGCCACGAAAGTATCGATGTAGTTTCCTGATTTTATTTTTCTTTCCGATTCTTTATTTTTTTCTATTCGCTTGGTATTTAGCTGTTACGCCACCTATTGTTGCAGAAGGCGCACCTTGGTGCTAGACAGAATGTGAATGCACAGCTACAATCTGCTCATCGTTTTAACCTGAAAATCTGAATTCATTTTTCATCTGCGTAAAGTTAGATTTTGGTTGTTGCTAATTTTCCCGAAAGGAAAATGAAATGAAAATTAAACAAGTGCC